TGGGTGGTGGGGCTTGGGAGTGGGCCCCCGGGTGGTGGGGCTCGGGCTTCAGCTTTGGCCCTGGGCCCCAGCAAGTCTAACACCATTCCTGGCGACCCTGTTAAAATGGGGTCGTGACCCACTTTGGGGTCTGACCCACAGTTTGAGAACCGCTGATTGAGACCATGCTTGACAGGTGTTTGTCTAAAATGTTATTAAAACCTCCAATGACAGGGATTCCGCAATCGTCCTAGGTATTTTGTTCCAGTGCTTAACTACCCTTACAGTTAGGAAGTTTTTTCTAATGTATAACCTAAATCTTCCTTGCTGCAATTAAAGCCCATTACTTCTTGCCTGTCCTCAGTGGATAAGGAAAACAATATATCACTCTCCTCTTCATAGCAACCTTTTACATACTTGAAGATTGTTACCATGTCCCCACTCAGTCTTCTCTTCTCCAGATTAAATGAACCCAATTTTTTCAGTCTTGCCTTGAATGTCATGTTTTCTAGATGTTTCATGAGTGCAGAATTGACAACCGTACGTATGCCAGTGTTTGAGTTATTACAGTACTTCTGACCTGGTTCTCTGCTCCTGAAGGAGAGAGAGAGGCTTGGCAACCTGGGGTCTGGGAAGTTCCACTGTGCTGAGCGGGACCCCCCCTCCCCTCCCTCCCCCGAATCCTGACAAGCTTCCCGCTCTGTAAGGAGAGATGGCAGTTATAGAGCTGCCTCTCCATCCAGAGTGGAGAGCTGGGTCTGGGAAGTTCCAGCACTTTCAAAATAAGGGTGAAAATCAGTAAAACCCACATCATAGCTTCTGTAAAACATGGGAAATTTTTGGCCAAAATATTTGGCTAATATGAAGGTCCTCATTCATAGTGTATATGCACAAGGAGGCAGTATTAAAGTTCCACAGGCAACCTTAAGACTGGCATCTTCTAACTTTTGAGTGCTTAATTTTGTAATCGTAAGGTTCTTTTAATATAGTTTTTTGGATCTCTCTCTCTCTCTCTCTGTTTATTGTGTGTATGAAAACTCGTACTAGTACCTTGGAAACTGACAACATGTTGAAATGATTGACATTTCACTGCTTGATAAATTCAAAAAATGAGCTATTGAGTCTGTTTTTGTTACTATATGATGCAAATATTTCATATTTATTGTGTATATAATTTGGCTTGAATGTTATTTTAGAGATGCAGCGTAATTTGAAGAATTCACCCCTGTGCTTTCTCTTCCTGTCACACTTTTTTTCTCTCCCTCCACTCTCTTTCTTTATCTGGTTGACACCCAATTTGTTGCATTATGTTGAATTTAAATGCTTACACTTTCAGGAGCAAGGACCCATAGCTACCCTTGTTTTGTGAGGCATTTGTCATCTTTTTGGGCACTTTAAAATATGATGTCAGCAGAGGGGACTGAGAACTCCTGATATCTATTCCTGAGTCGTCTTCACTCACCTAACTTCTTTTAGTTCCTTCTGTAAATATTTGTTATTTATCTACCTTAAAAGTTAGAAGGGGATAAATGAAAATAAAGGTAGGGAGAGGGAGGAAACCCTTTGTCCTGTGATAAGAAAGGTCTTGGTTTGACACAAAGCAGAACTTGCCTGATCTGAGCCTAACTTTTTCAGTTAGCTTCTGTGCCTTTCTGATTAGTTTCACTTGACTTAACAGTTGTGTTTAATTCTTATTTGAACTGTGCAATTTTTTTTTGCTATGGTTAGATTTTGCAATGACAGTGGAACTAACCAGTGTCACTTGTACACAGTCTTAAGCTATGATGTGTACATAAATATTACAAGACACTTATCTGATGCCATACTATATTTAATCTGTGTGTGTGGCCAAGAGAAGAAGACGGAAGCTGCAATATCCTTAAATTAAGATTTATATAGAGTTAGTGACTGTCAGTTTTGGTGCCATGAAAAAGATTTGAACCATAATATAATTCATTAACTTGAGGATTTATTAGCTAATATATTGTGAGCCAGAAAGGGAAGCTGACTACTTTCAATGATTCAGTGACTAAAGGGCTAAGGGAAGGAACGTCAACTTACCTCCTTCTTTGAGTGGTGTCCCTATGGGTGCTCCACTGTAGATGTTTGTGCGTTCCTGTGACATCGGAGAATTTCAATAGCAGTCAGTCCCTCCTGTGGGGCCATGAGGCCTGCTGGCATGCACGGGTATTCCCTCCTCAGTTCCTCCTCAGCAGCCCTAGGCTAGAGACAGAGCTAGGAGCTGTCCGTTCACAGATCATTGGCTCCTTTAATTTTGCAAATTTTTGCTTCTCTTTAATCCTCTTTTCTTTTAGTACTTATTTGTGTTTAGTTGGCCATGCCAAAAAAAAAGGGGGGGGCAGAAAAGAAAGGTAGAAAAGGTTTGCCTCCCGCCAAGCTTGTTGGCGAGTGATCTTCCTGCACAATGGTATGCCTGGCTCCCCAGGCTTCAAAAAGCGTCTTAGCTGGAAAGATTTCAGTGGATGGACATTCGCAGTGTATCCACTGCCTCGGGGAGAAGCACAATCCACAAAATTGTGGCTGGTGCCAGCAGCTAAAACCCAGGTCCAGGCAGGACAGAGAGTTGAAATTCCTGCCCTCCATTCCCCAGAGTCCTGACAAGAATGATCACCACAACCTTCTACGTCAAAGGAAGGTGATCCCAAAGAGACGAGCCACTCACTAAAGACCTCTAAGAAAAGGTCTGTGAGTCCCCATAACGAGCCCAGATAGAGCAGGAAATAACCTCCAGCTCCATCAGTATCTTTGGTACCTACGGCACCGAAGCTGCCTAGAGTCAGTACCCAGGGCACGCATGGTACCGAGCCAACAGAGACAGTTGGTCCCTCCAAAAACCCGATGGGCACAGGCAAGGAAGTTCTGGTACCGGGGGTGCATGAGAAACAGATGTTCTGCACCAGGGAAGGCTACGTCGACTAGGTTGTCGGCACCGGCACCAACAGCCATCGGAACTGATACTAGTACCACCCGCACTGACTGACTACAGGTGTGCATTGGACCTCTTGCTCTCTGATGCACCGCACTCACCCCTTCTCAGTACCGAGGCTCCGGTACTGAGCTCGCCAGGAGTAGTGGACACAATGGCATATCCATGCCCTTCACTGTTTCTCTCCTCTTCAGACTCAGATAGTGAATGAGAGGACTTAGGTTTCTACTGAGAGTCCTGTGGCACCTTAAGACTAAAAGATGTATTGGAGCATAAGCTTTCGTGGGTGAATGCCCACTTCGTCAGATGCATGATACTAGGTGATACCCCTCTGATACTAGGTTTCTACTGCGTGTCCTAGCCCCACACTGGTCCATGGTTTGGGCAGCCACAGTTCCAGCCACTAGCTCCCTACCCGCAGTGGCCGAACTGAGATCTTTGGCAAACCCAAAGGCAACACGCCTCACAGATCCCTAGTATGGAGTACCAGGCACCCTCCTTTAGCAGTGGCTTCAAAGGTGGCAGACCCTCCTGAGCTATTGGGGGAAGGAATGGAAACCGAATCAAAAAAAGAGGATATTCCTCCAGCCCATCCTTCATAATCCTCACCTGACAAGGCAGTGATGCCCCCTCCGCCTTCCTTGGCAGATGGCTTTAAATCATTCCAGGACCTAGCCCAAAGAGCGGCTGAAGTCGTGCATAAAGTAACTGAACCCCATCACAAGCTGGTAGACATTCTCCACTCTTCCACTTCTACCAGAGGCCCTCCTAGACCCTGCTAGGGTCATATGGCAGACACACAAACAGGCAGACAAAAAGTACTATGTGCTAGCAAAGGGCACAGAATTTTTGTTTTCCCACCCACCTCCTTCATGGAAATGTGAGTTTGTAATCAAGTGTAACAGTCTCTGCAAAGACATTTCTGACCCCACCTCTGCATTTTACTGTTAGTCAGCAGAAGAGATATACAGATCTAAAAATAAATAAATATGTTCCTTATTTATCCATGTAAATAATCGATTTAAAAAAAAAAAGACTCCAGAGGAGATCCTGTCAATTACAGGCTGGTAGCCCTAACTTCAGTACCAGGCAGATTAGTTGAAACTGTAGTAAAGAACAGAATTATCAGACACACAGATGAATACAATATGTTGGGGAAGAGTCACACAGCTTTTGTAACGGGAAATCATGCCTCATCAATCTATTAAAATTCTTTGAGGATGACTGCACCATACCTGAAACGGGGGGTGCGGGAGGGGAGATATTCTCTGGACTTGCCAGAGTAAGGGTACCAGTGCTCTGTGGGTGGGGGAGAAGGAGGTCAAGCTGCTGCAAAAGGGGGGGGGGGGTCAGCCTGGACGATGCTGACTCATACCCCTGGGAACGTAAGTGCGAAAGGCTTTAAAAGGGGCAAGTTCGCTCAGTAACCCTTTCTCCACATATCAGGGAAGGCAGCACCTTGCTTGGGGGGTTCAGGCTCCTATGATTGGAACGGCAGGGAGCCAACTCCCGTTTCTCATGGCCCACCTTAACTCTCCTGTGAGGGCGGCTTGTGGAAGCCCCTGGTAGTTATTTGAATGAATATGGAATTGTGTGTACTGTATACTATTATCTGACGGGTAGTCACAGATATCTAATAATAAAGCTGTGTCCTGATTAAATCCCTGTGAAGTGTCTTCTGTCCTTCATTCCATATTGTCTGACAACGTCAACAAGCATGTGGATAAAGGTGATCCAGTTGATATAGTTTACTTGTCTAATGATGTCTGTGGATTTCTACAGGTTTGAGGAACTTCATGTAGTGTTCCTAATTTTTTTTCATTATTGTTCCATTGGCAAATCTCTCAATCTATTCCTACTCTTGGGCAGAACCATTCCAACATATGGTGATAAGAGGAATTTGCCTCTTCTAATTCAAGTAGTTTCTGTTTAAATGGTCCATCTTGTAATATTGTACAACTTTCTTATTTTTAATTTCTCTCCCTTTCAGTGAACTCTGCATTGTAACTTTAAATTGTGGTAACTGTCAAACTGGTGTTTACACTAAGGTCATTGCTGTGTTTTTAATTTTTAGGGGGCTGCACTTAAATACTTGCCAACTATTGTCAATGATGTGAAATTGGTATTTGATCCAAAAGAACTTAGGTAAGTAATGTTATTAAAGTAATGTACTGTGTACTTTCTATTGTCTAGATCTACATTTTTGCGTTTGAACTTGTGTATAATTATTTAATGCACAACATTTTATATGAACTTTTATTGCTATCTTGGTAACTTGAATCCCTAGGACAAGAAATCATAATCATCTATGATATTGCACTTTGATCAAAATTCTTTGCTCCAGCCATCTTCAGGAGTATACATACATATTTTTATTTTAAAGTAAAATGTGTGGTAGGGAAGCTTATTATTATTATTATTTTTTTTTTTTGACAAATTTGCAAGCCTGTCTAGTTAAGATCATCTAATGAGATGCCAAAAATTGTAAATCATGTGAGTGATATCAGACTTATAGCTCATGTGTTTCATGCATCACTCTGCACCTCAATTGATTTGAATAATGATAGCTTTCTTATAGTTCACTGCACACTAGTTGTGTGTGGAAATTTTACTAAAGCAAAAACAATCATCTCTCCATGGACCCCTTTTACAAAAAAGATAAAGCGGAAAATTTGTTTAAAAACAAACAAATAACTAAGATTAAACACACTGCTAATGTGCTTAAAAAAACCTCTATAGTAATCTATTTTAGATATTTTAATTGCACAGACTATACATTGTCTTCAATTGTATAGTCTGTGATTTTTATTGAGGTAGTTTAGAGAACACTCAAGTGTTAATAAAAAATTCAGAGTTAATTTTTAATAAAATAAATGCTTGGAGGCTGGAAAATGAGAAGGCTATAATTCAAAAGCTAAATTTCAGTTTGGAAATACAAAAAATCATAATGATTGCTGAAATTTTTCATTGCACCCAGAAGCTAAAGTATAACTTTTCATTTACCTATTCTGCATGCTTCTTTATATCCTTTTCCACTAGGTCTCCTTGGGCCATGAGTATAGAGTTCCAAGACTAAGCCATTTCTGAAAGATGTATGGTAGCAAAAAGTACTGAAAAATCTGTCCAAAAGTAAAATACTGGTCATTGGCCCATCTTACTAAAGGATGTTGTAAATTTCCCATCACTTGGTCTTTTAATCAAGATTGGATGTCTTTCTAAAAGATATGTTTAGCTCAACCACAAGTTATAGGGCTTGATGCAGGAACTACTAGGTCAAGTTGAATGACCTCTGTTATGCAGGTTGTCAACCAGGTCCCTTCTGGTCCCAAAGCCTGTGAATTTTTTTCTGCGTCAGTCTCAGTTCTGCCCCTACCCCTAATTGAAGCTGTTCACATAAAGGATCCTTACTATCATGCTTCTTCTCCTACCTAAGTAGCAGGCTTTTGCATTTACAGTAACTCATATTTATGTTTTGTCTTATGTGCATTGCCTCTGTGCATCAGTTCGATTTTGAAATACATAAGCCAAAATGAAAAATGGAGAAGCTGTATGCTGCTACACGAGTAGAGCCTTGTTCATCTGTAGTGGAGTGAGGGAGGAAAATGAAGAGCAGAAATAAATATATTGGCCAAAGAAATTTAAACTAATTGTGAACACTGAATTGCCTTTCTATAACTCCTCACTATATAGAAAAGGGCTTGGTCCTCCTCTGCTCCCCCTTCCACCTGCCCAAAAAAATGTTTACTGAACTAACTGGTCAATTTCTTCTCTAGGTATAGACATTTGGTTTTATATACTTTTGAGAAATTAACATATTCCTTTTCTTAATTGCCCATTTTTGTATAGCAAGCTGTTTACAGATTTCATCCTAAATGTTCCAACGGGTCGGCTCACAATTCAGAAGCTGTACTGTTTGATCGAAATAGTTCACAGTGACCTCTTCACGCAGCATGGTAAGCAAAGCCCTGGAAATCATTACATTGTCACATTACTCATTGTCTCTAGACCTCTATCAGAGTCAGTTTTGTCCTCAATTTAGAAGGTAGTTGAGGTTGCAACCAATTAAAGTTGTTCCACTACAAGGACAAGCAGATTTAGACTATGTAAGAAAATGCTAATTGACAGTTAGTGTAGGTGGTAGATCATGGAGAAATGAAGGCAAAAACTTGTAATTTGTAATTTAAAAGAGCATTAAACACTGTGTAATTGGCTTGGATTGTAATTTTTAAAATAGGAAATTGTCACTTTCACATTTCTATAATGGAATTTTGAGTCAAGGAAATTGAGAGAGAGAACTTGACCTTTCTGTTTTAGTTTTTAAATACTTCCCACAAATTCCAAATTAAATACATTGACACTATACCATGCACCCAGATTTTCATTCCACTTTGCAGTTAGTGGCCCAATGAAAGACAAGTTCAAATGGTTATTTTATGGTTTATCTAGGTTTTCATTTGAGGTACAGCATTGCCTTTCTTTCTAGATGGCTATAGTGTAGACCAAAGTGTTGTTTCCTGGTGAAATAAGTTAATACAGTGAGCAACTAACTGTTGCCCTCTCCTCCCTTCCTAGTAATCTCTTCAATTTTGTCAATGTTCTAAGGGCCTGAGGAGAGAGAGGCAAAGTCCTTCTCTTCATTTAGATGTTTTGTAGTGATCAAGTAGGGTGAACGAATTTAACCAGGATAGCTTAAAAGGAAGCTGCTAAACCATTTAGACCCCAAATTTAGATTTGATGGGTTCTTTTTTAAAAGCTTTACAAATCTTAATAGTAATAAATGCTGTATTCATAAAACTATAACTGAGCAGTGAAAAATTATTTTTGGATTTAAACCTCTCCCTGAAGTATTTGCAAGCAGACAGACTTATATTGGTGTGTATATATATGGACCATAAAGTAAAATGAGCTATAAAAGAGAGCATTCTAATTTCGCTGCCCAATTTATATGACACTACCACAGAATGGATGAAGAAAAATAATTTTTTAATTTAAAAAATATGGTTAGTCTTGATTATTTAAGGGAATTTTAGTAATACTGATAAGGATTTTAAATAAAATTAAACCTGACAGGATGTATTTTAATGTATCTGTTTTGTGGGTAACTGTTACAGATTTAACAAACATAATTCCTTCTTTGTCTGATATGATTATAAAAAGAAGCCACTTAGGTGAGAGAAGTAACAAGTTACAGGGACTTGAAATTTTCTAGAAGGCTGTGGTCCTTTTTTATCTATTGTTGATTTTATTTGTAGGTAAAGATGACACACTGAAAAAATAAATGAAGTCTGAACTTAGTGATTGGAACATAGAGTAGTAGGACTTTGATAAATAGGCTTCCTCAGCATTGCAAGGTGTGCAAGGCAACCCGCCCAACCCCCCCTCCAAAAAAAACCCCACCCCAAAGTCGATTTAAAAGTTTGTGTCCTGTTGAAAAGAAAAATGCATTGATGTTTTTATTAAAGAGTATACTGTACATTTCATTGGCTATATGATTTTTCATTCTTAACCTGTATTTCTCGGGAATTTAGTGATTATGTCGGAAAAATTCCTTTTGTTGCTAAAATATCGGGGAGAGGAGCTAGATAAAAAATTGTTGGGGAAATAGTTTCTAAAATTATTCGTAAGAGGAGTATGAAACTGATTTTTCAGCGCGCATTAGTCCTTAACACTCAACATTTTGAAAGGGCTGTGCACTAGGTGCTGCTCCTTAAAATGCACAAGTACCCTCTGCACTGGTAGTGTTCTGTAGTTATCTGAATTATATGTACCCTCATAGCACCATACTGTGAAAATGTAGTCCTAAATGTATGGAGTAATTCCTTTTCCTGTTTTGAATTTTTTTTAATAAATTGATTGGTTAAATCCAGAGTACACACATGCACAGATATTCTGAAGCAGTATATATGCTTTCACTTGCAGAATGCCTGCCTGAGAGTAACGGCTCCCAGTGGTTCACAGATCATTTAGTGTATTAGGAGGCAAATTTAGCAGATGGCTAATAAAATAAATTACATGCATCTTTCATAATAAGATGACTCTGGCACGTAAATGCAGGAATGTATATAGTAGAGATAAGAAACCACCTAGAAACAGGAAGAAGGGTCAAAATGCAACAGCATGAATGTAAAATATACTACTATGTATAAAGGAAATTAAAGGGTAAAAACTTACTCTAAGGTTACTTTGTGGGCTAAAATAAATTTGTAAAAGCAAGGAAGCATGATAGTATATGCATAAAACTTCTTACATCACATTGTATTTGCGTGTCCCTAAAACTGAAATAAGTGTGATATATCCTTTGGGACCAATGATCTATGTTAAAGGTACTGACTTAAGTCTCACACTTCAGGAGAGACTGGATGGTTAATGAGATTGATAATGAGAGTCAGAAACTACACCAGCAACATCCAGAATAGCTTTATCAGCAGAGCTGCATGGAATGAGGTCCGGTAGAGCCATCCTCTGTTTACACACCTGGGACTATGACATTAAATGCTTAGTAACCTCAGTAGATGAGGTTGAAAGAACAAGCTACAGTAAAAGCTGTTTTATCTGGCATATTGGGAGAATGAGAGGTTCCAGTAAGTGAAAAATACCAGTTAACTAAGAGGGAGGGAGTTTGGGTGCGGGAGGGGGTACGGGAGGGGGTGTGGGGTGCCGGATCCATCGGGCGTTCACCTTGGGCAGCTCCCCGCAAGCGGTGACCTGTCTCTGCTGCTCTTAGGCGGAGGCATGGCAGATGACTCTGCGCACTGTCTCCATCCACAGGCGCTGCCCCCACAGCTCCCACTGGCCACAGTTCCCAACCATTGGGAGCTGAAGAGCTAGAGCTCGGGGCAGGGGCAGTGCGCGGAGCTGCCTGCTGCGCTTCCGCCTAGGAGCAGATGGGACAGGTCACTGCCTCCCAAGGTGAGCACCGCCCAGAACTGGCACCCCGCATCCTCTCCTGTGCCCCAACCCACTGCCCTGAGCCCTCTCCCGCACCCAAATTCCCTCCCAGAGCCTGCGCTCCACACCCCCTCCAGTGCCAACCGGACTATAACCCAGAATTTCAATTAATATCAGAAATGCCGGTTTATAGAGCTTTCCGGTTGGTGAAGTGCCGGATAAAACAGTTTTTACTATACCATGAACAAGCCAGAAACTGCACCAGCAAAAGCCCTAGCTAATTCATAAATCAGAATGCCTGGAATACATAGATTTCAGAAGACTTTGGGATATTTTCTCCACACATTTCCCCCTTCTCCCCAAGCAGCTGAAGTATCAGTTATTGACAATGCTGGAGGAAGCGTACTGAACCATAACCAATGGTCTTTATTCTTTATGGCAACCTTGAGTTCCTTAATAAATATGAATGTGTTCTTTGGTAGTCCAAATTATCTGCATGATTACAGTGATACTGTATATCCAAGTAAGATATAGGATTTTGCATTTGTATTGCAGCCCCTGTTTCTTCAGAATAGGTGATATAGGACATATGGGAGCAGTGAATATATTTACTTATTTTATCCACTGCTGTGCCATATTCTCTGTATAAGGAATTTTGTTCCCTCTGAGTGTCCTAGATTTTGTTGGTGAGGAATTACCAGTTGACTTCCAAGACCCACCTTTTCAAGGCCTGTGACCATTTCCAAATTTTCTACATAAACTTCCAAGTATAACATAGAACTCTGTACAGACTGATTCTGCTTTGGATATTCATCACATTCCTAGCTTCAAGACAATGAATATTCACTACTGTTTGAAGAAAAAATTGTTTTCTTTTACTGCTGGAAACTATTCCCCTACTAATAGAACCAAACCAATTTATATACATTTGTGAGGGTCATAGTCATTGAGTTCCATCCAAAGGCTGCTTTGTACATCTACTTTAGTCTGTTAGACGTCCCACTAGTTTTATATCCTCACTTATTTCCTCATTTTTCTGAAGCTTGATAGATAAATTTAGTTTTGTCTTGGGGGGAAACAAACAGCTAATTATCTTGGTCTTTCTTTGGCATGGCCAAAGCTCTTGGGAAATGATACCCAAATTCTCTCTCCTCTCACAAAAGAACCATATTTAAATTGCTTCTACATTCATTTGTCCTCAATCTGATTTGACAGAACAGTTACTGTAAGGGCATTGAAAAGATCATTTGGTCACAGTTATGTTGTTAGAGAAATTCATTAGAGTCTTTGACAAAACATTATTGCCTTGGAATTGTATCACAAAGATGATCTAAGTGTGTCCTGTTTGATTTGCAAGAGTTATTAAAAATCTAGAGGCTGATGATCTTTCACTCCTTTTTATGGTTTTTTAGAGGATTTCTGGTTTTGGTTTATGCAAGTTGTAGCTATATTACTGTTGGAAGCAGCGTGGTCAATAGGAATAAAGTGTGAGACTGGGAATGAGGATATGTGGAGTCAGTATCTTAAACAAGATACTTAACATTTCTGTGAAGTTGTGTAGATTTTCAAAAGAAAGTTAAGCGGGTTAGGTGCCAAAATCCCTTTGGAATTCAAGGGAATCCCAGCTTTCATTTCTAAAAATTGGGATGCTACTTTCTTACTTTGTAAAGCATTTTGAAGTCTAATTCTGCACAGTACTGAGTGTGTTGATTTAAAATCCTGATTCAGCCAGGTACTTGGGTACATGCCTAACTATTAGAATGCAAGTAGTACCACTGAAAGAGACAAGGTGGGTGAGAAAATATCTTTATTGGACTGACTTCTGTTGGTGGAAGGGGCAAGCTTTCAAGCTTCACAGAGCTCTTCCTCAAGTCTGGGGAAGGTAACCAGAGTGTCCAAGCTAAATGCAAGGTGGTACAGATGGTTAAGCATAAGGTGTTTATACATGTTGTAGGAGACCACTTAAAATGAAGTCTGCAATTAACATCTCTGCAGTCATAGGATAAAGGAGGATTAGTCAGCAGCAGGGTTTGTTACAAATTGTTGTAATAAGCCATAAAAGTAA